AATTAAATCACTAAGAAAACCTTAATGTATATTTCAGTGCCTTTAGTCTATTAAATTTGGTTCACCTTTGCTAGCCCTCTGTATGTCAGTGAGGGACTAACCCTTGAAATGCTTTCCTTTGATATTCAGGTCATCAACAATTCACAGATAAACTCATTTTCTTTGCCTCACATTGTAAAAGCTTAAAGAATTATGGATTTGATTCAATTTTTATTCACAGATTTAAACAAGTTTGTTTTGTCTGTATTCCCTTCTCTCTCCATTCTCCCTAGCTTTCTTCATTCTACTTTACTAAAAGGGTGTGAGCAGAAGCTAAGCTTTCTTCCTCACGTTTGTTCAATTGGGAAAACTAAAAAACTGACTCATTTGAGCACAAATAATCCCACGTACAGGTCTCAGAATGTTTCTCAAAGGGTGTAGCAAATTTAAGTCCACTATACAAATACCTATAGAGAGAGAGTCCCAAAGGTTTACGTATGGGGAAAAAACAATTAGAACAAGCATTTCCTGAAATCACTTGCTGTTGTCAGGATCAGTAATCATAAGGAAGGCATCCAGACTGAGAATGAAAAGGTCTATGGGAGTCCTACCTTGCTTTGTTATATTGTCTTCTCACAGAGGAAAATCTTTTAATTTTAGTTTTGAATGATTACCAAAAAGATCATCTTTGTATAGAGTTCTGAAAGGTACATTATTACCTTTTCTGTTTCTTCTGCTTTAGCTTTGTTAGGTTGCTTGAAGAGAGAGATTTGAAGTTGTGATGTAATTTGTGTCCAGATATGTCACATTGTAATCAACTGATTTGTGTGATCCTAGAGAAATGTTTAAGTCTGGGTTCGAGTATATATTTTTTGTTTATTCTCTAATTGAAAGAAGACAAACCACTTCAAGGTAGCAGTATCACAAATGTCTAGTGTAAATGAAGAACTTTTCTCTATCTGCTGATTGACCATGTGCCTCCAGGTGTACTCTTTTTACCTGTAAAAACCAATGAAGGTGTTTTGTTTCTTTAGCCCTAAGGAGGGGACAAATATATATGTGTACATGTGCACATGTGTGTATTTAATTACTTAAACAATACTAGCCTTCAAAATAAACTATAGTATATTGCTATTGCATTCTGTATTATTCAATAGCCAATTCAAACATATACAAATAAACTTTGGATTATCTTTAGTTTCAGATATTATCTGATAACTATTAATCATAAGGAACTGTGTGTGTGTGTGTGTGTGTGTGTGTGTGTGTGTGTGTGTGTGTGCATGCTTAATGTCTGGGCCCAGTCATTAGTATTTTATCAGTCATCCCATCTTACTGAATTGTATGGCCAGTATTGAGAGCCACCAAAGTTAGACAGAGGAAAGGAACTGGGTAAGCAAATGACTGGACCAGTAGCTCTTTCCTGAGGCAACGTAGAACAATTCTAACTTGAAGGTTGAGGAAGATGAAAGATTTCTCTGTAACTTCAGGTGAAACTGGAGAGTTGTTGGAGACCAAATTATGCAGGGCTTTTCTCTTTGTGAAGTGCCTGTTCAAGTCTTTTGATAGATTTTACTGGAATATATTTTCTTTAGTTAGGAATTATATTTGTTTTTATTCTTGACTAAATATATATATTGCAAATTCTTACTGCCTCTCAAATTTTAAGCAGAAACATAATATCAGATCTTCATTTTTAATACATCACTGCAGCAATGAATGGTTGAAACAAGTTTTTCAGTAGTCCTGGTGGAACTGGTAGTACCTTTGGCTAGGGTATAAGACATGGAGAGAAGTGGACAGGATTAAGAGATATTTGAGATAAACTCAGTAGAACTTGTTAGTGGAGATTAGATAAGTGGTAGGTAAGGTGAGAGGAGTGGGTCAAGAATGACTTGAGTTTTTTGTTCAAAAGATAAAAATCTACGTGTATACTATGACTGTGATGTATTTTGTTTAAGATATTGATGATATTTATAGGGTACTACAAAGATTTTTTGCCTTCCATATTAGATTATTTGTGAGATATACTCCAATTGGCTTAAAGATGGCGGCGTGAAAGGTGAGACACATACCTCCTCCCCAAACCACATATATTATGAAAATATAGCAAATACAACTAATCCTGAAAGAGCAACAGGAAAGAATTCAGTGACAGACTGCCTATATCTGGGGAAAAGAGCAGACCTCACGGAAAAGAGTAAAGTACCAAAGCTGTGATCCGGTGGGACCCAAGCCCTTCCCACACCCCAGATCACCAGCAGGAGGAAGACAAATGGAGCGGGGTGGGGGTGGAGGCATAAGACTGCTGAACACCCAGCCCTGGAGATCTGCTCTGGTAGCACGAACCTACGTTACATGGTGCTCTGGATATTAGTGTGATTGGGAAGCTAAGACAGGCAGAATACTTGGAGACACTGAAATTCCCGCCACTTGTAGAGAACAGGTACCCAGAACAAGCCACTCTGGGACAAAAGAAAGTCAGGTACTCTAAAAGACTTCCAATAGTAAGAGGGCTGCTGAAGGGACAAGGATTGCACAGAGCTTGCTGCTCAGAAGAAAGGACAAGTGGACAAAATTGTCCCAGCACATTCAGCCCAGCAGGTTGGGAACTTTCAAGAGCTTCAGTCGCTCCATTCCCCTAGTTGGCAATGCAGCTCTGAGTCCCCCCACTGCTCCTTCCTCCTGCCCGGCACCAGCTCGCAAACTGGCTGCCTCCGCCATTGTGCCAGGCCAGCCAGAGGGCAGCCCCGCCTACAGCAGCTACAAGTACATAACACAGAGGCTTCTCCCTGCATGCTTGGCCAACTGGCCATGGCAGTGGAGGTTGCACTGCAGCCAGGAAGCAGGAAAGAGCTCTTTCCTCTCAGCAGGCACCAGCACCACTCACTTGTGACCCCCACCATCACTCCAGGGGCTGAGCAGCTCCAGAGAATAGAGCTTCTGGGCACTGGAGGGTGCCACTTACAAATATGAAACACCTAAAGAACCTGGTTTAAACCCAAATCCCACAAACACCAGAAAGAGGGCCAAGTGAAACAATTCACCAATCTTCATGAAAGATTTCAAAATAAAAATCATAAACATGCTTACAGAGCTACAGAAAAATATTCAAAACCTCAGGGAGGAATTCAAGAAAGAGGTAGAAACTTTGAAAAATACAGTATCTGAAATGAAACATACAATGGAGGGATTTAAAAAAAGATAAGATGAAGTAGAAGAGATGATAAATGAAGTAGAAATTAGAGAACAGGAATACAGAGAAGCTGAGGTACAGAGAGAAAAAGGGATCTCTAGGAATGAATGAATATTGGGAGAACTCTGTGACCAATCCAAGCAGAACAATATTCACATTATAGATTTACCAGAAGAAGAAGAGAGAAAAAGGGATAAAAAGTGTCTTTGAGGAGGAAACTGCTGAAAACTTCCCCAGTCTGGAGAAGGAGATCATCTCTCAGGCCATGGAGGAGCACATATCTCCCAACACAAGTGACCCAAGGAAGACAACACCAAGACATAATAATTAAAATGGTGAAGATCAAGGATAAGGACAGACTATTAAAAGCAACTAGAGAGAGAAAAAAGATCACATACAAAGGAAAACCCATCAGGCTATCATAAGACTTCTCAACAGAAATCTTACAGGCCAGAAGGGAGTGGCATGATATATTTAATGCAATGAAACAGAAGGGCCTTGAACCAAGAATACTCTACCCTGTAAGATTATCATTTAAATTTGAAGGGGGGATTAAACACTTCCCAGATAAGCAAAAGTTGAAAGAATTTAGCTCCCACAAACCATCTCTACAGTGTATTTTGTAGGGACTGCTATAGATAGAAGTGTTACTAAGGCTAAATAGCTGTCACCAGAGAAAACAAAATCACAGTAAAGATAGTAGACCAATTAATTACTAAGCAAATGAAAAATTAAATCAGCTACCCCCAAAGTCAGTCAAGGGATAGACCAAGAGTACAGAATATGATACGTAATATATGAAGAATGGAGGAGGAAGAAAAAGGAGAGAAAAAAAGGAACCTTTAGATTGTGTTTGAAATAGCATACTAAGTGAGTTAAGTTAGACTGTTAGATAGTAAAGAAGCTATCCTTGAACCTTTGGTAACCACAAATCTAAAGCCTGCAATGGCAATGAGTACATATCTACCAATAATCACCCTAAATGTAAATGGACTGAATGTACCCATCAAAAGAGTTCTTGAATGGATAAAAAAACAAGACCCATCTATATGCTGCCTACAAGAGGTCACAGCACTATTTACAATAGTCAAGATACAGAAGCAACCTAAGTGTCCATCAGTAGATGAGTGGATAAAGAAGAGGTGGTACATATACACAATGGAATATTATTCAGCCATAAGAAGAAAACAAATCCTACCATTTGCAACAACATGGATGGAGCTAGAGGGTATTATGCACAGTGAAATAAGCCAGGCGGAGAAAGACAAGTACCAAATGATTTCACTCATCTGCGGAGTATAACAACAAAGCAAAACTGAAGGAACAAAACAGCAGCAGACTCAGACTCCAAGAAGGGACTTGCAGTTATCAAAGGGGAGAGGTGAGAGGGAGAAGGGGGGGCTCAAAAGGAAGACAGTGTAGCACAGAGAAGACAAGTACTGACTGTGGCATCTTACTACACTGATGGACAGTGACTGCAATGGGGTGTTGAGGGGGACTTGATAATATGGGTGAATGTAGTAACCTCAATGGTTTTCATGTGAAACCTTCATAAGAGTTGTATATCAATGATACCTTCACAAAAATTTTTTAAAAACTTTGGAATTTTTCTAAGTGATTTCAAAATGCAAATTTGTTTTCTATTTTTCTGGCTTAATAATTTAATTATTTACTATATGATTTATAGAAAAATATGTTCAAGATTACATCACTTAAATTTGATTTTGAAAACTATGGATATAGTAGGCAATGAAGCATCAGTAGATATTTAAAAAAACAGGAACTTAAGAAAATCAGTGAATTAAACTTGGCTTTTTTCTTTTAGGGGTCCCTTCAGTGTTGTACGACGATGTATCAACAGAGAAACTGGGCAACAATTTGCTGTAAAAATTGTTGATGTAGCCAAGTTCACATCAAGTCCAGGGTTAAGTACAGAAGGTAAGAGATGGATTTCAAGTAAGTTATTTGATGTCTGGCTTTATTTCATCTCCAAAATCCATTTATCAACCTAACCTTCATCTGGGGGTGGAGAATGGAGCATATAATATAGTGGGAAGTGGGTGGAGACAGTTTAAGCTCTGTTCTAGTTTGTCAGAATTCTAGAACACAGTGTTTGAAAGATAGCTACATTAATTTACAGTCATTTAGGATTATTATAGGCCTATGATTTTTTGCTAGGAAGAAAGTGAAATCTGGGCATATATTTTTAGGGGTCTAATTTTGAGTTTTATGGGAATGGAAAGGAAGGGAAGGGAAAAATCACAGATATGACAATTGCAGATTCAGAAGAAACTAAGATGAATTCCCTTCAAGTCCATAACTTTACTACCTTTACGATCATGATCTAATAGAACTAAAAGACTCATATCATGTTTGGCTTCAGTCACATATGGCCTACATGTAAAGTTTGAAAGATGAATACTGTGAGGACTTCTAGAACTTAAAAATTCTGCTTCAAGACATTGATAAACATGTTCATGATAAGTATTTATAAACAGTATATAAGCATTTTAAAGTTATTTACTTTTTCCAACTTTTTAAGCCATAGTTTCATGTGGCCACTGTTCACATATGCTCATACTTCAGATGGCATGATTGATTATTATATTAATTTTTCTAATTAGCCTCTCTTCTAATTTTAGACTTTTTCACAGTCTGGTAAATGACATACCCTTCTTTAATTCTCTCCTTTTTAATTCCAAGAGCAATGCAATTGATTGTTTAAATTGGAAATGTTGAGGCAGAATAGCCTGTTTATATTTTTTCCATTTATCTTAGTTTGAGAAGTAGAAGCCCACATAGTTTGAGCTCCAAGTTATATTTTTCCTGCAGATCTTTTTCAGGATCATTATTTTTATAAATACTTTTATAACCCTTTTAATTATTATTATCCATGTACGGATTGTAGAAAATTCTTAGACCTTGTTATAAAGATTATTTTTTAGTGCTATAATCTTCCAATTCTTTTACTAAAATTTAGAGGTTTTACACCTTATGGTGTCATACTCTGGAATTGTCTATTGTTATTTTGCAGTACAAATTATTTTATAAATTTAGCAGAATTTAAAATTTACTTCTTAGCAGGCTTTACAACTAGGTTATCTTTCTAAAAACTTTAAACATGCATACATTTAAAGTTAATATACTGTATTTGATTTTCTGTTCCTCAGTTGTCAACTAATAAGGAAAACTTTCCTGAGTACTAATGTAATTTTATATAAACCTAGTTTGTTAAACATTTTTATTTATTTTTCTAGTATTTGCATCATTTTATTTTTTCCCCAATAAACATTTTGTTTTAGAATAGTTTTAGATTTACAGAAGAGTTACAAATGTAGCAGACAGCATTCTTGTATTCCCCTCACCCAGTTTACACTATTGTACATCTTATATTACTGTAGCACATAAACATCTTTATTTTGAATCTTAATTTCTCTTAAATGTTCTGATACTGTTGATGAATTTAGTAAGATTCCAGTTTAAAATTACAAGTCAAAATTAGTTACTCAGTATACTTATTTTATATTGATTTAGCTCATTGTTATGCCTAATTCTGAATCTCTCCAGGCTAAAGACATTTTTTAGGGAAAAAATTAATTACTTTCTCAATTGGCTGAGGTTATTTATTGACTGATTTCTTCAGGAAGGGATCTCTGTAGCTATAGATCCAGACTGCCAGGCTAGACCTCTTTTTACTGTCACCTAGAGAGTCAAATACCAAATTTAAAAAAGAGAGAGTGAGAGTTACACATAATCCATGTCTCTGAGTCTTGTCTTTTCCTAATAGAATATATGGGAGCCCTTCACTGAAATTGTAGCTCACTCCTTCATTCCTTTTGCATATCTTTGGCTATGTAAATGTCTTCAAATCCTGTTCTAAAGACAAGGCCAGGTCATTCCATTGACCCTATATGGTAGGGCCATAACCTATAGGTATTAAATGATACCCAGTTGAGTTTTGCATGTTACTCACGACTTTATCTGGTTTTGATCAGAGTTCAGTGACACTCGTGAAAATGTGCAATTGGTTCTTTATATTTAAGACACCAAAATGTAGTTTTCCCATATTCTTTAGTACAGTGACTCACAATGACCAAGAAACAGAATCAAAATTTTATCTTCACCACCCACCACCACCACCTTTGTTTCTCTTTTTTTCACAATGGAGTTCCCATACCCTCTGTTGCTCATGTTCATACTAGTTCACCTTATTCTAACTTGGACACATTTCATTATCAGATACATATAATAAATAATATTTATTTCACTTTTATAAAACCTCTTTGACCAGTGTCCCCCAACAGCAGCTTTTTTCAACTCTTCCAATCACTACAGGGAAAACATCTCATGCCCCTTGCCCTTCCAGTCCATTTAGAAATTGTTAGGGTCCAAAAATGACCTCATTCATAGCTAAGTGTAGGAGATGCTATATTAAGAAGAAGCATACTTTGAAGTGAAATTTAACACAATAAAAAGAAATCCATGAGTTCAAATAAGAATATCTAGAAATATCTGTATTTACCATTTGCATTCTTTTCCAATTAAGCCTGTCTCTCAAGCAACAGAAAATTTAAAACTCTGTTTTATTCTTTCCTTTTCTATTTTATTTTTGTCTTAGTGGTTTACTTGATCTTTGTCATTGCCTCAAAATTTCCGTCTTAGTGCATTTGTTACTCAAATTTTTCTCAGTGCATTTGTATTCAAATACATTTTTGCATAAAATATAGGTTTTGCAAAGGGTCACCTGGGAACCTAACATATGCTGCTTATTTGGGTAGGTCATTATAATACAAAGGCAAAAAGAATACCTACTCTTGACTTACAGTGTAATAGTGTCCAGCCATTGTTTCTAACTTGTTTTTATAAGGAAACATGTAATAAATTCTAAATACATATTTTAGAATGAAATATGTGTAGTAGTCCGAGACCACATATGTATGTTTTAATATTTTAAATTCCCAATTGCTCTACTGAAGATGAGATATTGTAATTATTTGAATATATTGTCTTTATTTTTCCCATTAAAATTGTAATTTGTCAGTAAGGGTTCTTACAGGTTGTAGAGTATCCCTTAAGTTGTAAGCAGAATTATGTATATATGTTCATTTACCTAGAAAGAGAGTCCACAGCTTTTATGAGATTGCTAAAAAGGCTTATTATTCCTAAATGGCTCAGAATTTCTTCTATCACATGTGTGAAAAAATGAAATTGATGTTTATGTATATGAGATGAATAAGAAGTTCCTATTAAATGAAAGCTGGGTGAATTTATATTAGGATATTACTTCTAATTGGAGGATGTTTTCTTACTTACATATGCAGCCTCCATTAATGAAATTCCTTGATGATTATCCTAAAACTTTTCATTAATACACATTCTATCCCTTAGTCTGCTGAGTCACTAATTAGGCTTTTTATTTTAAAAATAGGTATCAAAATTAAGTCAAGTTGGACAAGGAAATTTAAGGAAGATAAGATGTATAGAATTGAAAACCGAATTGACAGAGTTCCAAGATCTTTAAAGGACTCAATTACTTATGGTTTAATTTTAAAAGTTCAAAAATGGCAGTTTTTATTTTGGAAGAGTAAATTGTCTTCTAGAAAGAATATAGATTGGGTTCCAGTTTGCTTAGTCTCCAAGAATATCTCATTCTCAAAGCCCTAGAGAGCAGATGATGTCAGCGAAACTGGGGGAGTAAGGACCTTCAACAATTATCATATCCATAAAAGCAAAGGGAAAACCAGCAAAAAAAAATTGTCAGAATCAACTTTTTCAGTACTCTGGAAATTAACCAATGGATTCCAGCAATGCAAGAAGAATTTGTTCCGCTGATTCGTGAGTGTTGAGGCATTTTAACTTGCCCCTGTACCATCCCCATCCCCCTCTCTCCAGTTCCACAGTAACCTTGAAAGCAAGCAGCTCATAATCATGGTGAAAACCAGGAGACTGGCAGCCACCAGAAGAGGCAGAACAGAGATGGAGCTACTCCTCCAAAGCCTCATGCCCAGGAAATTATTTGAGCTGTCTGACAATTCCTTGGAAGACCCCACTTGTAAGGCTTGTCTTTATTTGGCTTGACTCAGAGATTGCCCACTGCAGAAAACTGTTTCCCTGGGGGCATTTGTTGAAAACTTTTAGAGGCAGTTTAACTTCATAGCTGCCCAAGGCAGTAAATTAACAGTTGGGACAAACAAAAGCTAACTTAAGAACTTAAAAAGAAAAGCTGGATAAAGAGATGTTTATAGGGTCTCTGAAAAGCATATTCATGAGAATCAAGAAGGCCAGGCCCATGTGTAGGACTTGAAAAGGTTTTAAGCTCTCAACCGAGACTGACTTTCAGGCTGTGCAAGTAGTAAGCAGAGTTGTCAACTACCTAAGAGTTGAAGGTGTGCTCCAATACATACACACAGAGGCCCTGAGCAAAGACTAAGCTAACCAAGCAAAGATTTAGTAGCCACACACAATGCAGACTTTATTAGATCCAAAAACTCTCTAAGCAAATAAAGAACAAAAATAAACTGTAACAGTAACAGCAAACCTTGGAGGAGGGGAGATTTTGATTTACAGAGTTGATACATTATTAAAAACATGTAGTTTTCAATAAAATATTATGAGACATGGAAAGAAACAATGTCTCCCTAATAAGGAAAAATGCAACCAATAGAAACTATCCCTGAGCAAACCCAGATGTTGGACTTAGCTAGAAAAAAAGAGTTTAAACTAGCTATTTTAAATGTGTCCAGAGAAATAAAGGAAATCATGTCTAAAAAACCTAAAGGAAAGTATGAGAATGATATCTCACCAAATGGAAACTGTCAATAAGGATATAGATATTACTTTTAAAAACAGAGAACCAAATAGAAATTCTGGAGTTGTAAAGTACAATAACCAAAATGAAAAACTAACTGGAATGGCTCAACAGCAGATTTGAGTAGACAGCAGAAATGTGCAGTTCT